CTTGGTTGCTTGTTTGATTGTTTGCTTGTTTGCTTGTTTGCATCTTCCTTTCTTCCTTCCTTCCCTCCTTCCTTCCCTCCTTCCCTCCTTCCTTCCTTCCTTCCTTCCCTCCTTCCTCCCCTCCTCCCCTCCTCCATTCCTTCCTCCATTCCTTCCTCCCTCCCTTCCTTGCTTGCTTGCTTCCTTTCTTCCTTCCTTCCTTGCTTCCTTCCTTCCTTCCTTCGTTGCTTCCTTCCTTCCTTGCTTCCTTCCTTATTTCCGTCCTTCCTTATTTCCGTCTTTCCTTATTTCCTTCCTTCCTTATTTCCCTCCCTTTATCCCTCCCCTCCTCCCCTCCTCCATTCCTTCCTTCCTTCCTTCCTTCCTTCCTTCCTTCCTTCCTTCCTTCCTTCCTTCCTTCCTTCCTTCCTTCCTTCCTTCCTTCCTTCCTTCCTTCCCTCCTTGTGTTGTTGTGTGTTGTTGTGTTGTGTGTCATTTGTTTGCGTGTTTGGTTTAGTTTATGTTTGTTTCCTTCTTTTTGTTGTCTGTCTGTCTGTCTGTCTGTCTGTCTATCTGTTTGTCTGTCTGTCTGTCTGTCTGTCTGTCTGTCTGTCTGTCTGTCTGTCTGTCTCTGTTTGTATGTCCGTCGGTCGGTCGGTCGGTCGGTCGGTCTTTTGGTCGGTCGGTCGGTCAGTCCGCCGGTCCCCTTTGGTTTGGTTTGGTTTGGTTTGGCCTGGTTTGGTTTGTTTGCTTTGTTCGTGTGTTTGTTTGTGTGTGCGTTCGTTGCTTCGCATGCTTGTTTGCTTGTTCGCTTGCTTGTGTGGGTGTGTGTGTGTTGTTTGTTCAGTGTTTGGGTGCGGGGTGCGTGTGTGTGTGTGTCATTTCGTGTGACGTGTGTCTGAGTGTGTGTGTGTGTGCCTACTTCATGCAGGGGACAACTCATTTGCTGTGCGCGATGGTCCAACGAAGCGGCCACAGCAAATGCGGATATCGAGGCTGATCACCTCGACGTACCTGCGCAACACCGTTCTATCAACAGAGCCGTTTTGCGTTGTGTGTTGCGCCGTTGCTTTACAAGGACCGATGGCTCGATCGGTGATGCGTCCATTGTTGTTTTTATAGTCTGAAGCCAACTCGAAATGAAGCAGTCGAACCTGTCTCTCCTCTCCTCTCTTGCGTGACGCACACGAATGTACCAAACCACCCCTTGGGGTATTGAAGTGTGTTATCCCGAAAGGGGATCCTTGAGTGCACCCCTGGTGTGGCCTCGGGTCCGCTTTGCGGAGTTCAGGAACCTCAGTTGTTTCACCGTGACCTCAGTTCTATAAACCTCAGTTGTGTGACCTCGGCGTCGTGACCTCAGTGAGATACGAAGGTACGGTGCTTTCGTGTGTGTTTCGCGCACAAGAACAACAAGGCCGGGTCACCTCCTGCGTCCACACATGGTTTCTTTCTTTCACACATTCATGTCTTTCTCAAATTGACATTCAAGCTGACATTTCATGAACAGTCTTTTGCAGCTTTCATTCTGTCATGCAGTCTTTTGCCTTCTCGACTAGTCTTGAACCTTATTAGTGATACTATGCCCAGACGCGATCAACGCGAACGTTCTTGATCACGGCCAACCGCCGAAGCACACACCTCATCAGACAAATGGATCGGCGACTTCCACTCCTACCACACCTGACATGCCGAACACGCCGATCACCGCCTTCAAGGAACCACTGGAACGGGCACAATCCCCCGGCTTCAGGGATTCGCAAGAGGTATACCAATTCAACTTGCCGGAACCATCGCCAACAAGCCCTACACGCAGCAGATTGGCATCGGAGGTCTCAGACTTGACCAGGTGTTCATCCGGGCGTAGCCAATTGGTTGTTGAGGCCAATGAGTCATCCTTTCACACCGTGTTTCCCGACCTCTCTCCGGACGTACTTCACGCATCATTTCTTTGACTCCTCGGAGGTTTGCAAAAGAATGGCGGCTTCTACCACCTTGCACCACCTTCATCCAGGATGTTCACATCGAGCTACAAAGCCTCTTCAGTCGACATAATGCGCAACTCAAGTACACCCATCGCTGGACTCATCAGTCTTTTGATGACTGGATACTTCATCTCAAGGGCTTGGGTAGTCATTCCTGCTGACCACTTTCCCTCCCGCACACATGTCATTTGCCCTCAACTCTTTTCTACTCTTTTGGACCAACCATTCTGTGAAGGGGAGGTCTTCACGCCTTGTCGGCAACCAACAGCCAATTTTCGGGCTACGCTTTGCACTACGCTACACCCACGCGTCAAACACAAACGGTTGCGGCAGTTGGACTCACTACCTTCAGCTTGCATTCTACCTACCCTCCAAGGACTGGCAGAAAGCAAGGCCTATTATTTCGTTCTTCAGAACATGCAGCTCCATTATTGACGGTTTTCGGCGCGCTCATCTTTGAACTCGCCAAATCTACGCTTCCAGAAGACCAGGACAGATACAGGCGCAGGACTTGGTACAACAAGTTTGGCGTAACAGTTGACCTCGAGCTTGTTTCTCAGGACGTTTCTGGCTTTTTCACATGGATCCCAACGTCCCGTTTCAAGCTTGAAGTTCTGCTACGCAACGCGGTCAACAAGGCCATCAACTGATTTTTCATGGCGAGAATGGAGAATTTCACCATTTTGTGATCCTTGCGGTCCAGCGCACCACCGTGTGGACAAGATAAGCAGACATGAAGGAAAAGATGTGAATAGGGTCGGAGCGGTAGAGATTTGAGTGGTTCGTGTCACGGCTGAGTGTGACTTGGCTTGACCTTGATTTGATCAGTTGCCCATGGACTTGCGCAGTGGCCGTCGCTGTGTTTAAACAGAGTATTGAGGTAGTCACATTTACAAAATCGCAACACCGTGGTTGGAGTGGATTCCTGACAATAGTGGGATTCGGCCTGAGCGACAGTGGAGTAAGATCTACTGGGCTGGTGAATGGAGTACAGTCCTCCGCCCCCGAACAACACGTACCGGGAGCGGAAGAAAGTCTGACAGCCGCCAAATTATTCGGATGACAACAACAACATGAAGAACCAGCCGACCACTGGGACCTGGCAATATCGGGACTGGACCAGTCGCGGACGGCGACTTGTGCTTGACGTTTCTCCTCAAGGTCCTCGCGACCCACCTGACACCGAGCAACAACTGCATCCCGAACATGATCCCATGTACGCGCATTTGGATCCTGCACCTGTGACTTCGAGTCGCTCTACCGCTACTTCCGTGTTTGGAGATGGAGCAACCTATCCTCCTCCCCAACGGCATACCGATCTCCAGTATTGAGCATCCACATGATGTTCCTCCTTGGACTTCACAGCGGGCGGCCTTTCCCCTAGAGGACGACCATCTTTTTCGGACAAGATCAGCCTCAACCGCTGCGGTTTCAATGATCCGTAGTGGACAGTGGATCTTCCGACGAAAAATAGCCCCTGCGGGGGCGTGCGTGTACCCTGGGACCACTTTTCAGTTCATGCAGGGGCCCGGGGCCATCCGTTTGCTGTGTGCGATGGTCCAACGAAGCAGCCGCAGCAAATGCGGATATCAAGGCTGATCACCTCGACGTACCTGCGCAACACCGTTCTATCAACAGAGCCGTTTTTGCGTTGTGTGTTGCGCCGTTGCTTTACAAGGACCGATGGCTCGATCGGTGATGCGTTCATTGTTGGTTTTACAATCTGAAGCCATCTCGAAATGAAGCAGTCGAACCTGTCTCTCCGCTCCTCTCTTGGGTGACGTACACGAATGTACCAAACCACCCCTTGGGGTATTGAAGTGTGTGTGTGTGTGTGTGCGTGCGTGTGTTTGCGTGTGTTGTGTGTGTGTGTTTCCTCTCATGTCTTGATTGTTTGTTTGTTTGTTTGTTTGTTTTGTTGGCTGGCTGGCTGGCTGGCTGGCTGGCTGGCTGGTTGTTGTTTTTGTCGTGTGGTTGCGTGAAATCTGCTTGGTTAAATTGGAGTTGGCCTCCGTGGAATGCAGTTTGTTGTGATTTGTAGTCCAACATGTTCAGTTGCGGCCAGCAGGAAATCCCCGCACGGGACAGGCAAGCGTACTAAGTGTAGTGACAACGCCCCAGAAGATAACACAGCAGGATCGAATTCGAACGAGACAGCTACCAAGACGCAAACTGTATCGCACAGAGAATCACTGCAAGGCCACAAATAGCATCAATGGAGGAGGCGCCAAGGCTATGGATTGGACAATACCCCAAGGAGACAACAATACCAGGCCACAATCAAACGGTTTATGCCAATGTCTACGAGCTGTGACATGGTGATTCGGAGCAAATCCTTTAAGACCCATGGAGATACAAGGACAATGCTAGCGATTTAGCGCATGGAGAACCGACCAGCCATGGAACACTCACATGTTCCAATCCAGGAACACACCTATTGCGGGCAAGAGCTTGAGACATTGCCTTCCACAACTGACAGTCCCTTCACAACACACTGCACTAAACAAGTTTCAACCTCTGAAATGACTTCAAAATATCACATCAATCAAGTTCTCATCTCCTTGATGATCCTTCCATGAGATAGGGGCAGTGAGTTGCTGCAGCCGACCTGGGCCAAGGTTGCATGAAGTCTTGCCCCCTTCAGAAAGGAGGGTCCGAGTGTGGGCAGGCGTGAGGCAGAAGGGCAGCTGTGCGGAACTGCCACATGCTCCCTGCACTCAGGAATCCGCCAATCGCAAAGTCTCCGTGTGCTCACCCTCTGCCAACAGTGCCTTTTCAAAGCTTGCAGCGCCCAGCCAGCAACTATATATGCTGCCGTTTCCCAGCCCTTGACGTGTGCTTGCTAACAGCGAAGTTCTTAGGCCTGGTAGGAAGCTCAAGGCATGTTTGAGTCTGTTACATTTCATTTGTAGAACATTTGGTTCCACTGATGTGCTTTTCAGAAGACTCCGGGACTGTTAGGCCTCATTACCGGTTCATGAAGCTTTGAGTGGACAGGATCCCTGCAGCTGCCTTGCAGAGGAAGAGCGGGAGGTTATGGAGGTGATTGGACAAAAGACTTTGCCTCGCTTGGTAAGTCTAAGGCACGTGGCCTATCTCGCATGATCGAGGTTGGAGCATGTGGAGGTTGAGCGTCGTCGACACAAAAGATACATATACGTTGCCTTTCTGGTATGTCTAGTCTCTCCTTTGGCCCCAGTGTTCAATGTATTTGCGATAGATAGAGCTATTAGAGCTATTAGAGCTGCTATGTCTGGCAGCTTGTTTGATGGTGTGAGGGGTCGAGCTTTGCTCCTTTTGGATGAAGTGATTGGGAGGGATCGAGCCCTGCGCTGCCACATGTAGTAGCAAATGGTTCAGTTGTGGCATCATTGGTCCATTCTTGCAACCGTGAAGTTGTATGGTCAGCCGGATCTCAGGATCTTGCCGCCTTCACTGGTACTAGTACAGCTGACGAGCACTCTGCCGGGCGTCTGGCGCAATGTCGCTTGCCCACAAGTGATTGCAACCAGATGGAGTTGGCTGAAAAGATACTAAGCCAGGCCACGTAAGGTTTGATTTCACACATTGGCAAATCTCAACCAAACATGGTTTACCTAAATCCCCTAATTCTAAAACCGGCACTTTGGGTTCTTAAAACCAAACCGAAAGGTGTGCGGGACACGCGCGGTTCACCCCAGGCCTGGAGCGCGCGTCGCCCTATGTGGACCGCGTGGGGGCGGTCATGGTGATCCTGAATGCGCTGGCGGGAGAAGGGAGGGCCCGGCAGCCTCCAGTGGGTTCCCTGCTAGGACAAAGATGTGCGTATGGGTCAAAATTACACCAGCAGGACCACAGGTTTTAGTCCTTGGTTCCACCTACCGATCGGGCAAGCCATTTTGGGGTTACCCTATTTCGACCCACAGCCATGTACACTCCCGGCTAACCCGGAAGCTCCCAGAAGGCCACTGGAAATGTACTCAAGTCTTCAGGGGTCCTGAGAGCTTCCATGTTAGTCTCGGCGAGAGTCATCTTCCATGGTTGATATTGATCCAATTACGCAATATATGGAGAAACCCAAACTGTAGCAGTAAGTTTCATGAGTCACTGGCAGATCTCTGCGCTTGCCTTCGTTATTTTGGCAAATTTGGTTTTCGCCCCATTGAAATGTTTCCGCGCATCCAATTCAAGGCCTTCTTTGGCAAAAGGCGGGTCTTTTTGGGACTCATTCCACTGGATGGTCTTGGAGGGCCATGTGTGTTAGTTTGTGTTTTTGTTTTTAACAGGATGTGTTTTGATTTTCAGGGTGGGTGGTTTGTTTTGCTTTTTTTCGTGGGTTTGTGCGGTTTTTGGTGGCTTTTAATACATACACAATGGTTGCCGGAGAGGAACTGATGATGCTGAGGAAGTGGGAAGCCGAGGCCAGAGAAAGCAACAGCCGCAAAACCCGACCTGCTGGTGATGCTGGGGATGTTGGCGTGAGAATACGATTCTGGGCATGTCGATGGGCTCGTTTGAAGTACTTCATGTCGATGGGCTCCGGTGAAGTACTTGTATTTTGTGAGAGAATGCCGTAGAACCACGACATTTTACTGGCCCGCACTGAAAAAACAACAAAGCAAGAAGAAGAAAGAAACAACAATCCTACATTAAATCTTGACCCAATGGTCTTTGGTCGTTCCGTTTGGCACAGATTTGGTTGCAGGCCATGCTCTTAGAGTTCGAGCTCTCTGGGCAGTCAGCGGGCTCCCACCTTGGGCTGTCGACGGGCTGGCCTCTCTCGTCCACGATGCCCGTTTTCCGGGGAATCAGCTGCTCGTCTTGGAGAGCAGCCGGTTGTGGTTCGGCGGTTCGGCGGTTCGGCGGTTCGGTGGACTTGGATCTTGGTGTCCTTTGCCACCCGCGGAGGTGCCACTTTCGACGTGGTGTTCTTCCTTGAGCTTGCCGTCCGCGTGGCCATTGAGCGCCGCAGATTTCTTAAGGACGGCTTTAAGCAAGGCGACTTAATGATTTCGTCATTCAAGGGGATGTTTGGAAGATGACCATAACCAGGGTCAATAATTTTGGCCGACACCAGTTAGGACCGCGATGCGTGCTCGGTGTGTATACAACGCAACACATACTTTGATTTGGGCCTCACAGCGCTGAATAACAGCGCGGAACAACATGTGAGTGGGATATTTGATAGAGGTTGTCTTTCACCAGTTGGCTTGGGGATTGCCACCCATGCTAAAGAATTGCAGTCAGACTTTTGGCCAGCTGCTTTGAGCGGACAAGGTTTTTTTTTGCTGGAAAAGAGTCGCAGACCTCAGGGAATCTGCTTTGTATATACAATCAGCACTGGCGAGCCGTGAGGAACTTGCCAACCTGTTTGATAGCATCTTGGTCCTGGCTGGACTTGTTGCACCTTGGCCTGCGAGAGACGTAGCAACACTTCGATTTTTGGTTTGCCTCGATGCAAGCTGGGTTACATGGAGGTTAAGCATGTTGCATCTCAGTTTGCTTTGGCCAGCTCAGGAATTGCACTTTATCATCATGACGACACCTGCAGATCAGATGAGCTGGCGCGTATTCCGAGCACTGATACTTGGCTATTGACCCAATGATTTGCGTGTGTATGTTTGCGTGTGTATGTCTGTGTGTATGCAGCACATGCAGATGAAGTCTGGAGTGGGCTGCAGCTGTTGGTGTCGCTACGTTGAGGTTTGAACGCATCATCAATCTAAGTCACAAATTATTATGTGTTGTTTGGAATATACATTTCACTCTGCAAGTGAACTTGCATCGTGCTTATGCAATATCGTATCCTTTGAAGAGGCATTCAAAGGTTTCCCCCGCAGGAACATCACACGGGCGTATTTGCCTTTCTACCCCTTTACTCCTCGCGATTTACCGTGAAGAGCCATGATGAGAAAAGATTTGGTGGTAAGACCTTTGTCATTTTTTCCATTTGCTGAAGAATATGTTGTATTTTGCCTGGTCTTAAAGGGAATCTATCGCTACTGAACATATTTGTTCTTTCTTTTTTTCCGGGGGAGCTGGAAATGGAGTCCCGCCTGACTGACCTGCGATCCAGGAGCTCCATCCGCGCGATTCGCGTGCTACGAGCCTTTCGGTTTTGCCAAGGGCTCAGGCTGCCACTTGGCGATTCCGGGAGGTTTGCTGACGGCGTATTGCCCGAAAGTCAGAACATGTCCTACCAATGATGAACGGTTTTTTGGTGCTGCAGCTGGCATTCTGCAAAACACCTGGTGGAGTACGGACAGGTGAGCTTGAACAAATTAGAAGACTGTTAATTTGAGTTGGTCGAATACTTGTCATGCTGGCTGCTGAACCGTCCATGCTTGTTCAGATGAAAGTGAAGCGCTTCCAAAATTGTCTCGACGGGTTTGATTGAGTAAAGTTACCCATACCCCATTTGGCTTGTTTGAACAAAGTGGATATGTTTGAAGCTGAACATCATCTCGTGCGCAGAGCTTATAGGATGAAGACGCTGGCCATGTGCATCAAGCAAATTGATGCCACGATGTCATGGATGGGCAGTCCTGCGGTGTTCCTGGTGACGTGCTCGCAGGGTCAAGGATGTTGACAACAAAACGCATTGTTTCGCGACTTCCAAATGATTTGCACACTTGGGACACTGGCACCATCTGGCTTGCAATGCTTTCGGGTTGAGGGTATGATAGAAATGCTGCGGATGCATTACTTGTTTTGCAAGATGTAGATATGCAAGCACATTTGTTGTCGGCTTGTTTGGAAAGTGCTGCAGCGATGGGCATTGTGTTGTTGTCCGCAGATTGCTGCTTCTGTTACACACGTAGTCCTGTCTTCCGCTAGTCCTCCAACACATCAGCAACACTACATCAAAGGAGCATCCCTCAAATGGATCGAACCGTTGTACACTCTCACACAAGCACACACGTGAATTCTGCGCACAGGCTCAGACAGTTTGTGAGCAGCTTGTTTGTTATTCACCTGGGCAACATCTCAGCCTTTCTCATTAAAGCATGGCATGGACCTCGTTATTATCGCGGCCACTACCTTCACGGTTGGAACACCCTCAAGCATGTTTGCCAAAACATACATCCCACATGAAGACAAGCCGGATATATGTTTGTCCACCAAGTTACCTTGCTGTGCACGTTTCTGTGATTTCAGGCTATTGAACGCTTGCCAGTCCTTCGTGGTGTCGCTGTGCTGGTCTATGGCCGCCTGGCCGGGGCTTGTCTTTGGACCGTGGGAGGGCGCCTTCGGGGAAAGCCATCCGAGGATTTCTTCGGTTTGGCGCGGTTCGCTTGAAGACTTCCCCCCAAAGAATTTCTGTTGAACCGGGAAAGAAGCACTTGATGGGTGTGACTTTGGGGAAGCCTTTGGACACCTTATGGGGATCATGTCCACCAAGCACTGAGGTGGTTCCCTATTTACATTCATGGCCTGACGGCTGGCATGACCTTTTTGCGCCCACCACTTCAGACTCAAAATGTGAAAGAAGACCTTCAGGTGTTGTCTTTCTACAAAGGAGCAGTAGCAGAGCAGATGTTGCCTGGGACGTCCTCAGTTCGATTCCACACATTGGTTTCACACCTTTTCTCCCTCACATATGTGTTGTTATTGCTGATGCAAGAAGTTGATAGTTACCCTGTTGCAGTGAACCACTAGCAGTTGTCGTGGAGGCAATTTACAGAATGCAGTCCGACATGCCGTGGCTTCGAGCAGCAAGCTTGGGCAAGACCCAAGCGTAAGCAACTGGTGGCTGTTGAAAAAACAAAAAACACACGGCAGAGTGATTTCCCATGAGCATCAGCATGGTGTTCAAGGCTGCGAGGGAATTGCCTCTGGTTTCAATCATTATAGCCCTCCTTTCACAGCTTTTCACCTTGAGCAGCACAGTATCTAGAGACAGAGTTTCGTCTGGTTCTTTCCAAGACCTTGTGACCCCGCTGAATGTGTCAAGTCGTGCTCGCGTTGCATTGCATCCGCTGGATCACGCCTGAGGTCCTTCTGGGTGTGGTTATGATCGCAGCGTCGCTCGTCATCGGGAACCTTCTGCAGGACACCTGGGGACATGTGGGCTTCCCTGAAGCCAGGGTTCAAGACTCGCCCTTGGGACGACCACTCTCCGTTCAATGCGGAAATCCGTCGAAAAGTGCCACGCAGTGTCAGAAGATGAAGCATTCAGCTGCCACAAGTCGGCAGGACTACATCCGTGATGACAATGTCGGCTTCGATGACCGTGTTTGGGTTTGGCAGTACTATGGCACTGCGTACCGGTCTTGGCCGCCCGGCTTTTTCCCGAATGCGTAGCGAAGGGTTCCGGTTTATAAGTGGGGGTCTGGGGGTGGAGGCCGTGTTCGCGAGGAGTTGCTCCAGAGTTCGCAACCGTCCGCAACCGTTCGCGGTGAGGCGATAAGCGTGTGCCATTGGGATTCGTCGTGGAAGCGTGTTTTTGATGGATCGGCAAATGCTGTTTTCGTTGGCCCTGTGCGCGAATCGTAGCTTCTCAAAGCTCGACGTGTCGTTTCGCTGCGCAGGCGCAGTGTTTTGGAAGGCTGCGTGTTCTCGTTGCCGTGCCAGTGGGATTTGCGATCCAGGGGTGGTTGCTTTGAGGTGTCCTGCTTGGCAGGCGCGTGATAGTGTTTGCGCCGGCGCCGTTTTCGTTGGCCCTGTCGTGCAATCGGCTCGTTTTGGCAAGCCTGAAACGTGTTTGTTTGTGTCTGTTTGGTAGGCTTGGGTAGACACTGATCATTCCTCAACATGTTGTACAATTACCATCTTGGTCAAGTGCCTTGATCCAGGTTGGCTAATTGTCTTTTGTTCTCCCACCCTATCTGTTTCAAAGAACCCACCCTTGACAGGTGGCCTGGCGTCCAGTAACCCCTGTCTTGGAGGCCCCGCTGGGGCTGGGTTTGCGTCACTGAGGGGACGCGGAGGTGGGGCTCCCGTTGGTCGGGACGTAGCCTGGCAACCCACACCGGGAGCTTCTCACGGCCGACGAAGCCCTTCAGCGCACGTTGGGTGGGTCAAATCGCTCTCGCTGTGGGGCGGTGCGCATTTTGCGAACGCGAAGCGAACCCTCTGCGCACCTTTGGGAAATCGCTCTCGCTGTGGCGCGGCGCGCATTTTGAGCGTTCAGAAGTGTGGTTCAGCACTGTTGCTCAAACTGTCGGTCAAGAGTGTCAATCAGAAGCTCGCATCAAAAGTGTTGCTCAGAAGTGTCGATCAGAAGTGTTGCTCAGAAAAGTCGATCAGAAAAAGGTGTCGCTCAGAAGTGTCAATCAGAAACAATGTGGTTCAGAAGTGTTGATCAGGTGTCGCTCAAAAGTGTCGCTCAGAAGTGTCAATCAGAAGTGTTGCCCCAAAAAGTCGATCAGAAGAAGTGTTGCTCAGAAGTGTCGAGCAGAAAAAGTGTCGGTCAGAAGTGTCGCTCAAAAGTGTCGCACAGAAGTGTCAATGATCAGAAGTGTTGCTCAGAAACGTCGATCAGAAAAAGTGTCGCTCAGAAGTGTTGCTCAGAAGCGTCGATCGGGAAAAGTGTGGTTCACAAGTGTTGATCAGGCGTCGCTCAAAAGTGTCGCTCAGAAGTGTCAATCAGTAGTGTTGCTCAGAAAAGTCGATCAGAAAAAGTGTTGCTCAGAAGTGTCGATCAGAAAATCTGTCGGTCAGAAGTGTCGCTCAAAAGTGTCGCTCAGAAGTGTCAATGAGAAGTGTGGGTCGGAAGTGTTGCTCAGAAGTGTTGATGAGAAGGGTTCCTCAAAAGTGTCGGTCAGAAGTGTCGATCAGATGTGTTGCTCAGAAGTGTCGCTCAGAAGTGTCAATTCAGCACTGTTGCTCAGAAGTGTCGTTCAGAAGTGTCGATGAGCCGTGTGGATCAGAAGTGTTGGTCAGAAGTGTTGCTCAGAACCGTCGATGAGAAATTTGGATCAGAAGTGTTGCTCATCAGTGTCAATCAGAAGTGTGGTTCAGCAGTGTTGCTCAAACTGTCGATCAGAAGTGTCAATCAGAAGTGCGGATCAAAAGTGTTGCTCAGAAGTGTCGATCAGAAGTGTTGCTCAGAAAAGTCGATCAGAAAAAGTGCCGCTCAGAAGTGTCGATCAGAAAAAGTGTGGTTCAGAAGTGTTGATCAGGTGTCGCTCAACAGTGTCGCTCAGAAGTGTCAATCAGAAGTTGTGCTCAAACGTGTCGCTCAGAAGTCTAGTACGCGCTGGAAAATCGCAACTTTGTAGTGCAAGTCTAGCGCGAAGCACAGGTTTCCAGCTCCAGCTGGAAAATCGCGACTTTGTAGCACAAGTCTAGTACGCGAAGCACAGGTACGCGAAGTCCAGCAATCACAACCTTGTAGTAGAAGCCTAGCGCACGAAGTACAGGTTTCCAGCTCTAGCTAGAAATCACAACCTTGTAGTAGAAGCCTAGCGCACGAAGTACAGGTTTCCAGCTCTAGCTGGAAAATCTCGACTTTGTAGTACAAGTCTAGTACGCGAAGTACAGGTTTCCAGCTCTGGCTGGATCGCAACATTGAAGTGCAAGTATAGCACGCGAAGTACAGGCTTTGAGCTCCAGCTCGAAAATCGCAACTTTGTAGTACAAGTCTAGTGCGCAAAGTACAGGTCTTCAGCAATAGCTGGACAATCGCAGCTGTGCAGCCCAAGTCTACAAGGTGGGGCCCCTAAGTTATAAGTAACTTATGACACTTATACTTTAGATATGACACTTATAATTAACTTAAGATGAACTTATCTTGACAACTTATAACTTAGCTACCATTAAGTAATAAGTAACTTATAACTTGTATAACTTGTTTTGGTCGTTTATTTCCTGAACTTCTCGGCCGGGCATGCTGTCATACAAAATCACGGTAGCGGAGTAGTTTTGGTCAGTTTCCCATCAAAAGTGAGCTCGAAAAACCAGACAATGAAGGTGGGAACTACAGCAAGCAGACATAGCGGTGGGTTGTATGTGGGTGCCCTTTTTCAATGTATGTGGGTTGTGTGTGGGCCGTTTTTTTGGATGTGTGTGGGTTGCGTGTGGGCCGTTTTTTTGGATGTGTGTGGGTTGTGTGTGCGTTGTGTGTGGGTGGGTGTTTTTGTCAACAAAAGCGTGAAAACAACATATGTTTCCAGTGTCTCGTATCTTTTTCGGGATTCGGGCGATGTGTGTGGGATGTGTGTGGGTTGTGTGTGGGTTGTGTGTGGATCGTGTTTTGGGATGTGTGTGGGTTGTGTGTGGGTTGTGTGTGGGTGGTGTGTGGACGCGTCGCTCCCGCTCCCCCCTCCCAACCCCTCCCGCCGGTTTTTTTCTCCTCCATCTCGCCAAACAGGCTCCGCGCATTGAAATCCCCTCGATAGGACAAAAAGTTGAAAAACTGTCCAAACGCAGATTTTTCCAGCCACTGCTCTTGAAACCCCGAAATCGCATTCTTTTTCATAAGTTGTACGTAAGTTGTACAAGTAACTTATGCTCCAACGTACATAAGTTCTGCAAGTAACTTATGAAACTTATATCTAATTTATAACTTGTGTGTGTACTTATGCAACTTATATGTCATTTGGCGGGGATATAACATGGTGACAACATGTTTGTAACGTGTATATATAACATACTTATAACATAGGGGCCCCACCTTGTAGTGCGCAAAGTACCAGCTCCGGCTAGAAAATCGCAACTTTGTAGTGCAAGTCTAGCGCGCGAAGCGCAGGTGTCCAGCTCCAGATTGAAAATCGTAGCTTTGCAGTAACAAGTGGAGCGTGCAAAGTACAGTTTGACAAGCTGGAAAACATAGTTTGCGCAGTAGGCTTGATTGCGAGCCCCACTGGCTTGTGCCGAAAAATGTTCTCTCTAATTATTTTCTTAGGTTGCACAAAGTGATGTGCATTCGGGTTCGTGGGCTCTGTCTTGTTTGACAGCACCCACGCGTACATACATATTCTTACGAGACGGCTGAGGTGTGCGCCTTGGGTGCATATACCTTTGAGCATACTTTGCATACAGGTATGTATGTACACATATGGACAAAGTGTATCAGGCTCTAGGCATTGATGTGCATGGGTTGAAGGATGTCAATACAACTGTACGAAGTGTGCTTGTCTCTCAAGACCCCTGTGCGAATCGTGCACGACTTGTGTACAAGTCCAGTCTGTACTTGTATGATGTGCACTGAGAGGTCTTCTCAGCCGAGTGCTGTCTGACGATTTCTTGCTGGTTTGAAGCTGTACATCGGTTGGCATGCGCTTCCATTGTGCTTCCTCGTCCTGTCTTAGTTTATTTCGGCGTGGTGGATGTTGACATTGTGTCAACCGGCAAGATTTCTGTAGCAATCATCATGTCCATGCTGCTCAGTCTGCTCAGTGTCCACGGGTTTGATTGCAACATTTTGGGAAACCATGTACTGGGCTACTGGATCAATTGGATCTCTCCATCATCTTGCATGTGCGTCATGAAGTTGCTCCCGAAGACGTGTGCTGTGGCGCCTGTGCAAGTGAAGCACGTGCAGAATTGCAGCCATGGTCTATGCATGTTCAGACAAGTCAATGTTCAAAGCCCAGATGTTGAGCTGCGGGGCGCTATAGCGAGGCCAGTTGCTCCTCTTCAAGTAGGCCCGCAAAGCCTGAGGCGAAGCGTATTTGCGCACGCTGTTCGTGCGTATCTCCCGCGAAAGCATTCCCACTCCGCGAGTGAAAGAGCGTTTCTGCGGCTGCCACCTTGCGGGGGCTTCTCACGCGTGTTCTTGCTGCGTGTTTTCTGGCGTTGTCCCCAAAACTGTTTCTAAATGCGTTCATGTGGATGACAGCCATGTTGTAGAAGCTTGACCCCTCTCCTTGTTTTTGCTTGACCTCATCCATGTGTTGCTCAGGTATACGCTCTACGAAATCACTTTTGCGGGTAGTTGGCCTACAATGGCCAGACCCGTGCTCGAGAAGGCAGGGCAGGGCGTCTCTGCAAATCATTTTTGGGAAGCACGGAGGCCCAGAGCGAAGTGAAGCCTTAGCCCGTCGAGATAGCAAGCTCAGCATTGCAATCTGCGCGGATGTGTGCGACGTGCGAAGTTGCGCGTCGCCGAGGTCGTCGTCGTCGTCGTCGTTGTTGTTGTTGTGGTTGTGGTTGTGGTTATTGTTGCGTTCTTTCTTGTGGTTCTTCTGGTTGTTGTTGTTGGTGGTGGTGGTGGTGGTGTTGTTGTCGTCGTCGTGCTGGTTGTGGTTGTGGTTGTGGTTGTGGTTGTGGTACTGTGGCTGCGGTTGTGGTTGTGGTTGTTATGTTTTTTGGCTGTTGGTTGTTGGCTGTTGGCTGTTGGTTGTTGATTGTTGGTTGTTGGCGTTGTTTGCTGTTTGGTGTTTGTTGTTTGTTGGTTGTTGTGTGTTTGTTGTTGTTGTTGATTGGTTGTTGGTCTTGGTTGTTGGTTTGTTGCTGCTGCTGTTGCTGCTGCTGTTGTTGTTGGTGGTGGTGGTGGTGTTGTGGTTGTTGGTTGTTCGTTGTTCGCTGTTGGTCGTTGGTGGACGTTGGTTGTTGGTTGTTGGTTGTTGTTGGTGTTGTCGTTATCATCGTCGTCATCGTCGTCGTTGTCGCTGACGTTGTCGTTGTCGATGTCGTTGTTGGTGTCGCTGTCGTTGTCGTTGTCGCTGTCGCTGTGGTTGTCGTTGTCGCTGTCGTTGGTTGTTGGTTGTTGGTTGGTGGTTGGTGGTTGTTGGTTGTTGTTTGTTGTTTGTTGTTTGTTGTTTGTTGTTGTTCTTTTGTTGTGTGTTTGTGTTTTGTTGTTTGTTGTTTGTTCTTGTTGTTGATGTTGTTGTTATTGTTGTTGTTGCTGCTGCTGTCATTGTTGTTCTTGTTCTTGCTCTTGTTCTTGTTCTTCTTCTTCTGCTTGCTGTTGTTGTTGTTGTTGTTGTTGTTGTTGTTGTTGTTGTTGTTGTTGTTGTTATTGTTGTTGTTGCCGTTGCCGCTGCCGCTGCCACTGCCGCTGCTGTCGTTGTCGTTGTTCTTGTTCTTGGTGTTGTTGTTGGTGTTGTTGTTGTGGTTGTTGGTTGTTGGTTGTTGGTTGTTGGTTGTCGGTTGTTGGTTGTTGGTTGTTGTTGTTGTTGGCATTGTTGTTGTTGTTGTGGTTGTTGGTTGTTGGTTGTTGGTTGTTGGTTGTCGGTTGTTGGTTGTTGGTTGTTGGTTGTTGATTTTGGTTGTTGTTGTTGTTGTTGTTGTTGTTGTTGTTGCTGTTGTTGTTGTTGTTGTTGTTGTTGTTGTTGTTGTTGTGATTGTTGTTGTTGTTGTTGTTGATATTGTTGTTGTTGTTGTTGCTGTTGCTGTTGTTGTTGTTGTTGCTGCTGCTGATGCTGCTGCTGCTGCTGTTGTTGTTACTGCTGTTGCTGTTGCTGTTGTTGTTGTTGTTGTTGTTGTTGTTGTTGTTGTTGTTGTGGTTGCGCTTGTGGTTGTGGTTGTCGTTGTCGGTTCTTGTTGTTCTTGTTGTTCTTGTTGTTCTTCCTGTTGTTGTTGTTGTTGCTGCTGCTGTTGTTTGCGTTTTTGCTGTTGCTGTTGTTGTGGTTGTTGTTGTTGTTTCGCTTGTGGTTGTCTTTTTCGTTGTCGTTGTTGCTGTTGTTGTTCTTGTTGTTGTTGTTGTTCTTGTTCTTGTTCTTGTTCTTGTTCTTGTTCTTGTTATTGTTCTTGTTGTTGCTGTTGCTGTTGCTGTTGCTGTTGCTGTTGCTGTTGCTGTTGCTGTTGCTGTTGCTGTTGTTGTTGTTGTTGTTGTTGTTGTTGTTGTTGTTGTTGTTGTTGTTGTTGTTGTTGTTGTTGTGGTTGTTGTTGTTGTTGTTGGCGTTGTTGTCGTTGTTGGCGTTGTTGGCGTTGTGAGTGTTGATGGTGTTGTGGTGTTGGTGTTGTTGGTGTTGTCGTCTTGCACGCACGTCCTCGGCTCCTGGCGGGTTCGGGGATCTCTCTTCGTCGGGAGCCTTCCTGCTTCCGGCGGCTTCTGCCTCCCTTCCCCCCCCTTCTGTTTCTCCGTTGTCCAGCCTTCCCCTCGCAGTTTGGCGGCGATGGGCGGAGGATGCGGTGTGTTCCTCTCTCTCGCTGTACGAAATCAGTTAGGGTCTGAAGTTGAGAATTTAGTTATAGGGTCTGGAAAAACATTGGATCATGGCACAAGCGCGGCAAATCCTTTTTGGAGGCCGCTAGTAGCGAAGGTGTCGCTGTCTCTGGAGCAGTAAGGCGCTGCTCATCGGCTAGGCTGGCGGATGCCAACCGTCACCCAGTCTGGCAAGCGACGCGGTTGTTGGCCAAGGAACTTTTGGCGCAAAAGCAAGTTGCTTGCTGTGATGACCTCGAATTTTAGCTAAGCCAGGCTGGATGACATCCTTGTGGATTTGCAACGCAAAAAGCCTTGCCTCTTGGAAATCTCCAACACAACTGCTCCAACACTGCGGCAAGGGCTGAGGGCCTTCATGACCTCAGGACGGACTGGCGAGTTTGCCAGTGTCAGATGTGGCTTCAATCCACACGGGCTGAACGCTTATGCAGTAGGGGTCATGACCGGTGGTTGTAAATTGTTTGCTGTTATCGGGAGACCATCCTTCAGGTTTGCCCTTTCT